TTTGGGCCCTAACACTCCCAGATGGAAGCAACCCTTTTTGTGCCCACGATCAATCTAGCCGAGAGAGAGTCTTTCAGGACAGATGTACGTCTTAGAGCAAAGCATCTTGTAATGCGCACCGACACCTGTCCGTGAGGCCCCGGTTATGATGAATATGGCAACGGCTACGGCTACAGCACCTACCAGTCCAGCGCCAGCGGTACGGGCTTCTTTGCTGTGCCACACCGGCACAAGCTATAACAACATCTTTCGAGTCATGTTTTTGACGCTCTACATCTACACGTCAGCACGGCAGTAGCGCTTTGGCTGTTACCTGACCCCAATTAAAAGAATGAGGGAGAGCAAGGCAGAGAGGAGGGGAGAAAGAGAGCAGGAGAAGGCTCCTGAGGTCTTATAGGGTTGCCTGGCACCCCCCTTGCAAGAGTGTAGTCACGTGCAGCACTCCTCTGTGATGCTCAGTGGTTCTCCACGGTCGTCGGCCTCTGCTGCTGCTGTGGATTGTGCGCCTGCTGCTACGCCACGTCGAAGAGGGGTAAGAAGCTCCTCGGTGTTGACAGCTCTTGCACTTTTTCGTGGGCCATGGCCCATGGCCTCATGTCTAGATCTATAGGGCTCATTGCACGAGATGTTTTTCCTGGACTTTTCCTGCATTGCACGTTCCTCACGTGAGCCCCAGCAAGCCAACCTGGAATTGAGGCACTCCTGAACCAGTAACTACCAGCAAGTTGCGTTCTCATTCTCCCCCATCAATGCCGCACTGGGCCTCCAATGTTCTGGCAAACCAACCATCGGCTGTTTGAGGCCACCCAACTGGGGCCCATTTGGCGGCGGCGGTGCAAGCGGCGACGTGACCTGGCGCAGTTTCGTGCCAGCAGCCTTCCGCTGTTGATCCGTCACGTGCCACTGGACCCTTGTGATTCGCCTCTCTAACCCTGTGAAGTGACTGGGAGCTTTGTTGTGGCTTGAGAATGTGATTAGGGCTTTGTGGCATGCATCCAGAAAAGATTCTAGTCTTATCCGAAGCAGGCGGGTGCCTGGGCTAAATCATCAAAGGCCGGTGCCCACCCCTCCACCTCCAACCTTTCCCAAAAACCGAGGGTTCAAAGTTCGTGACCCGAGCGTAGCATCCGCACCCAGTGCGTGTGAGAGCCACTGGCAAGCCAAGCACCCCTTGTCCTACCCCATAATTTTGACGTGTCCAGTGTCCACGAGTGATGGCGGCGGAGGCTTGTGGGCTTGCATCTCATGACAAGGCAAGGATCGCAAGCAACCAACAGCAGCTGAGTTCCTAGAACAGGCTTGAGGCAATGTCCAGGGATGGCACGCATGAACTCGGACTTCTGGCTGGAACGTGGCAAGTTGAGGAGAGCGAGTCGGTGGAGTTTGTTCACCAGGACGCGTACAACCCCTACTGGCACAACCAGGTCCGGCGCACTGATGCAGGGTTCACGGTTTTGCCCACGATTGCTGCAGCTAGGGTTCCTTTCCAGAACCCAAGCAGAGTTGGGTGTATATGGCTTGGGATCTAGACCACGAAGCCCGGAACACAAAATCAGCCACAGCAGGGGGCCCAGACCACTGTGGCCTTCATGGACACCCCAGCACCGGGCGGCGTATCCTGGGCCAGCTACTGCCACTCGGCGGAGGTGGTCGTGCGAAGTGCGACTTGTATTTCTCACAGGTGCTATTGCTCCTGCCTCTCTGACAACCAAATTCAAACCAGTTGCAGATGGGGCTTGGCTGATGTTCACTGCCGTACTGTAGCCAACCGGAATTTGACATGAATCAACGATGAATCAACGTGGCCAGTGCTGAACAGAGTGTGTCGAATCGCAATGGTTCGACATGCCGGTCAAGATGTGTCTTGCTGCTTTCGGAAGCTGTGAAGACGACGAAGCCAGCACCTTTAAAGTCCAAAAAACCCTGAAGGGCCTCTTGCGAGGAAGCTCAGGTCATGGCACGCCGGAGGTGAGCCCAAAGAGTGGCTTCGTTGGTGGGAAGTGGGGCGACTGCCTGGCTTGGGCTGTCATATACGAGCACCAGAACCTAGGCAGGCAAGTGCGTTTTTTGGGTTTGCGCCGTCTAGGCCCTAGGCAGGGATTGCAAAGGGCCTCTCTTTCTCTTCGAGGTCAGGCTGGCATGATGTACTGGTCATTCGCTGGTCGCACGCCTTTGTTTGCTGTCATAAACGGTACGGTGCGCTCCAAACTCAAAGGAGTGATCCATGAACAATCAGCAGCTACTTGCCCGCGCCTTTGCTTGCCCTTGCTTGAGCTCCGCTCGAGGAACCCGGATTGGGAGCATAATCCCAGCTACCAGCTCCTCAGCTGAAGGAGGAGATACAAGGAAAGACCGGACCATGGTTTATGCTTAGGCTCCATGAGTGGAGGGTCAGGAGGGTTTGAGACCGTCTGGGCGTGATAACATCGCTGTGTGCCATGAGACCAACGAAACTGTGACATTCACATCGGGCATGGCGAAAATGTGGCAGCGGGAGACTGTGATTCACTTTGCTGTGGCTGTAAGCCGCTTCCAAGGGAAATGGGTCCTGCTGGCAGCGTTATCGCTGCCATGCTGGAGAAGTCCTCCGATAGCCGCCCGCCTGACAATTGCCGTTCAGATGTGAGTGGCTGTTTGGACCATGTATGCAAGGTCATGTGGCGAGTTGCGAAACACTAACATGAGTGTCTTAACATTCAGTGCTACTAGCTGTCTTGCGCTTTGCTCGACGCAGCGTTCAAGCAGCCCGTACCATGCGCTATGAAGACAAAGCCAGCAAGCAGATGGCAGCGGGCAGATCAGAGTTCCCTTTGCTTGCCGTGGCTCTATGCCATTTGGTCGACTCGCAAAATGTTATGGAGATGTCTCCTTCTTGCCGAGGTGACGCCGAAGATGTGGAGAAAGCTGCGGATCGTTTGGAAAGCGCCTGCAACCTGGTGCGAATGCAGGGGAAGGGGGCTTCTGGCTTGGTGGTTCCAGTGTCGACTTGGAGCCAAATATGCCATGCCTCCGACCTTTGAGCGACAGCTGTCGACTTTAAAAAGCCCTAAACCCCACATGCGTGGGGATACAAGTTTTAAAGCGTAAATGTGTAGCCTGGGGGGACCTCGCAAGGGCTTAAGCTGTCTGAGCCCACAGGCCCCACAAGTTTCGACATTCTGGTGTTCGGAGGCCTTATCTTCGGGATGTTGCTGGGACATTCTTCGCCATGAAATGTCTGATGCTTCGGGTTTCCGGTTCTTCTTAGGGCTTGGGCAGCTTATACACGGGAACTATAGGGCTGAGAAGGATCCGTTCCATAAGCCCTCGAGGCCAGCATCCCAAGACCCCCCGAGTCCTGGGCTGAGACAAGGTAGACAAGCGATTGCTGCTGGCGGGCCGCTGCCAGTGATCAACCGCAGGGCATGAGCTCCATACTACGCACAGAATACCTACATGTAGAAATACATAAATATGATATGTATATATATAGGTGTGTATATATAGGTATATATATATATATATATACACATGCAGATATACATCTATAGTGATTAATGACTCATCATCTTATACATGTTGTCCAGGGGCTCATGGTCCCTGCTTTTTCCCGGTTGCTGCTGCTGGCAAAGGTGCCGTTTGGGAAGGACTCGGCCTCTGCGACACTCTCCCACCGTACTGTAGACAGCGAAAGCGGTAGAGGTCGAAACACAATGAACAAACGCTTCACGACGCTCACCAATGCATTGAAGCTCAAGAGCCAACAAGACGGCACCATTTGTTCTGGCATGGGGCATGTCCAAATTCTCTTGCAATGGCTTGAGAGAGAGAGATCTGGACACTGCTTTGTAGAATCGTTTTGGTGTTAATCGTTGCTTGAGCTCGCAACAATGCAGGCCGTCTAAGTTGAGCCAGTTGAGCCTTGTTTTTCCAGTGCACCAGGGGCACTCCAACGCTGCCTGCCAGTCACATGTTATTGTGCTCTACGCTGCGCGGGCTCCATCCATGCATGTGGCTACGGCGGCTACGACAGCTAGGCTGAGAGGCTTGCGCTCCCATCAAAATCAGTGCTTGAAGCAGAGAACCTGAATGAATGTCATGGGTCCTTGGTGCGCGGAAGTTGGAAGTACACAAGTCTACCTTGACAACACCCCGCCCCCCAAACTCAAACAATCACCCCGCAACCGACAAGTTCCAAGAGTTCCGAAGAAGCTTCTCTTATACAGCCGTGCTAGACTTGAGCGCCAGTGAGATGGAGAAGGTGGAGTGGGAGTGGAGCACCAGTGAGATGGAGACGCTGGATTGGGACAAGCGCAGGTGCACTGCCCGGATGAGGTGGTGTGCTTTCAGGATGTGTAAGTTTTTGCAGATGGCGTTGATTTGCTGACATTCTGTCCTTCGCGTGAGGATGCATCAAGCGCTGGCGAAACTCGCAAGTCAAGACGACATGAGTGACTTCGTGAGTGCGGATGAAGGACTCGAACCGCAAGGATATTATAATCTTCCTGTGAGTCTATTCTGGCATGGGTCTGGTGTTGTTCGTTGATGAGCTATATATTATATACATATCAGCAGTACTCGTTATTTGCGCTGGGTTGGAAAACGCACGAAGTTCTCCAGGCCTTGATCGTCAGCAATACAACTTTTCAGGAAAGGGACCATTTACAGATGGGCAGTGACAGGCAGTAACCATTACATAGAGGTACAGGGCTCGTTTATGCAAAGCTTCTTCCCAGCTCGGTTGTTTCAGTAGCTGCCCTGCCCTTCTTTCTGATTCCAGAGCCAGGAGAAGATGCGAGCTCGGCAGTGTAGAGAGTGCTGTCGGCTTCGCCAACCTCATCAATTTTCCCGGCTACCGCGCAGTACCTCACGAGAACGATGTTTTCCATGATGACTACTACTGGAACGTCGGCGTGCAGATCCTCACGATAAGGCGCTGGTGTCTCCTCGGACAGATCGTTGAGACCTCCGACTGCATCAGACCTCGGCTGGTTGCTCGGGACCGTCAGGGCTGTGGATTTATGGTGCATTTCCACATTGGAGATCATATCTCTACTCTGCGCCTTGAGGATATGAAAGTTGGGAACACAATTGCCCTCATGGTGCCAGAGAAGCACAATTTTGTAGACAAGACGCTGGGCATCAAACACTCGCGGCAGGACACAGCTTTCATCTTTCGTTCAGCGCTGCATCCTTTGATTTCAGAAGGCGAGAAAATCATGGAGGGTGAGTTTTGCTTCCAGTGCCGCACACCGACGTCGTCGCGGTGTGCAAAGTGCGGCATTGCACTCTACTGCAGTAAGAGCTGCCAAGACAAGCATGAGTTGCATAGAGGCTTGTGTCCTCAAATGACTGTTCTCCGAAACCTGTTGCACATGGACTTCGCCGCGCCACCCGTAGCAGCGTTGCAGACGTGCGCAACTTTGGCTTGCCGAAGTGCTTGTGCACTACCCCGTCCCTGCCCTTGCTGTGGATTCCAGGACAAGGAGCTAGGCAACAGTGATGAGTGTCCCGGTCGTGGGCTACTCAACCATCTCGACTATCCACCTGCAGCGTGCCTCCCGCGCAAAAGTGATGCGAGTCAACAGTTCTACTACACACCTGAGGGTGTTCCAAGACGGCACTGGGCCTTAGTCGCGGAAGTGACGCAGGCTTTGCCGGACATGATTGTGGCAGAGACCAAATTTGGCGAGGAAGTGTGCTTGAAGACAAATGGCTCCTTGAACACATCCGTCTGGAAGCATGGCAACTGCATCATTGCTTTTTACGCCCTGCTTGCGGACAGCAAGACCGATGAGATGCCAGAGTTGAAGATTCAGTTCGATGAGATGCAAGCCTTGCAGATCCAAACCAGGGAGGGCTTACGAGAGCTGCTAGCTGCAGAGGCAGAGGTTCTCGCAAAAGTCCCTACAACAACGACGGATGCGAGGAAGGCGTGGGAGAAAGGGGTACCCTCACCCATGACATTCGGCAAGAACCTCCTAAGCAATCTCCACGTTCATGATGAAACGGTGGTGACCTACTTGGCTTACTTGCAAGTGATGGACTGTTTCCGCGACTATTGCAGCGGCCCATGGGACTGTCATCGGTTGACAGTCCCATGGGCCGCACGGTCCAGCGCGGCTCCATTCCAAGACAGCGTAGACTCTGTAGACAGTGCTGGCCCAACCTGTGCAACGAGGGAGAAGGAGGTGAACACGCAAGGCATGGAAGCAGAGAAGCCTGAAACATGCGAGCACCTTGACTCTCCACCGTCGCCACCCACGCCGGAGCAGGAAGGTACCCTGAAACCGAGACACAACAGGACATACACTAAGGCTGAGGTCTTTGCCGACTTGCAGGCCTTGTTGGCTGACTATCCCTCCGGTCTTGCCAGCAGCAAGCTTCCAGAAGCCTTCCAGTCAAGGTACAGCCGACCGCTCAAGCCGAAGGCATTTGGCTTCAACTCGTGGAGGATGTGGGATTCCGAAACGTCACGTCACATGCCTTGCATAGCCGCCGTAGCCCCAGGATTGCAAAGGATGCGAAGCTGTGGAATTCTGACTTACAGTACAGGGTTGTAGCGAACTGAGAAAACATCGCATCCCACAGCGTTCCAGGAAGCTCTTGGAGGCTTGCCCCGGCTTGAAAGTTTCGGGAGAGGCTGGACAGGACATGTTGGTGTCCCGCTTGCATTTGGTCATGAGTGCTCCAGATTTCGGGCCACTCTTTGGGGAAATCCATGACATGCAGGGGCCCAAAAAGGGATCCCAACTCAGGGTCTCGAACTGACCATGTATGCAAGCTTCAGAGTCGAATTCGCGCATGCGCGGATGTGTGTAACTATCATCTGTGTTTTTAATTCTTTTTTGTTTGTGCATGCAATGCAGTTCAGCCGAGAAACCGTATGACTGGCTGTCTTTGTGTGAATTTCCACATACGGTTAGTACTGGCTTGATAAGACATTCGCATGCACGCTCGTGCATGCACGCGCGCTTGCAAACAAACACAAAGCATGCTGCGATGCCGAATCTACAGGTCATGAGTGCTTTATGCAAAGCAGCCAAGGTCAATCTCAAAAGTTCCGCGGCGGGGCACCCTCAGACCACCACCAGCGCACTCACGCCAACGATTCCTACGCCTTTCCCGCACTTTGGTCCAATACAGCTGAAGCCAAGCAACATCTTCTTCACACACGACAGCATCCTGAGCAAGTTCAGAGATGGGCGACTTGTGCGAGAGACGCTTCGGCAGCTGCGCGCAGGTGACATCCAACCCGACGCCATTCCAACCATGAAGGTTTGCCACCACGCAGCTGCGGGGTACCCTATCCGTTTCTGGACGTACACTGGAAATCGCCGACTCTGGGTCTTCAGGCAGCTGGAAGAAGAGGGCTTGATAAAGGAGGTGGGTGTGCAGTTTGTGAACAAGATCGTGCCAGCTTTTCGGTTAACCACCCGGAATGGCGGCGTTTCTCTCCGCATCCGTGGTGAATAGTAGGAAGGGTTTGGTCGTCGACATTGATGGGACGGGCTTCCGTGAGTTTAGTGTGCATCCCTTGCCAATCCGCCCTGTGTCTGTCATTTTCATTGGCTCACCACGCTGCGTTGCGATGGGGCGTCGGACGGTGACAAAGGTGAAAGAAGCATCTGTCTCGTGGAATTTTCTTCGTTTCCTGCAGGGCAAGTGCGGTTTGGCACCTGCCAGAAGAACACGGCGTGTCTGCACATGACGGTTAGGCTTTGCGGGCACATTGGTTTTGCATGGACCTGAAAAAGCTAAGCTAAGAAGAACTGCGATTGCAATCGATGTTCCATGTGGGAAGATACGCTGCGTAGATCTCCTTCCCTCTTAGAGGAGCTTGGAGACTTTTGTCGCAGGCGTCTGGAAGACGGCTCACGCCCAGGTAAGGATTGATCACGACTTTTCCCTTGGCTTCTTCTTCTTCCTCCTCTCAGTTCATGCGGGGAATGTCCACGGGCTCAGATAGATTGCTTTGCTGCCTCTGAGCTGCATTAGGAGCAATATGGAGCAATTATAATTTAGAAACTTGTTGGGCCTCGTAATGCTGGAGCATCCAGTGCAGGTTCCGGGTGGCTTCACGGTGCGCATGTGGTTGAAAGATTGGATGCACCACAAACCCTGAACTGAAGGGACCGACAGCAGTGCCTTCCCTGGAGTTTGAAGCCGTTTCCGACATTCTGATTGCGAATTGTTTCAATATAAATTTTGCAGAGTTTTGTCCGGTACAGCTGCGAGCCCGACAAAGTAGTTGGATTCTTCGCGCACCTGCTGCCCTGTCATCGGCCTTTTCTCGAGCTCTGAACTCATCAGCTTTCTTTGAGCATCTTTCAGATGGCTTGTTTGGGCCCATCAAAGAGTAAGGCGAAAGCTATAAACCTGAACCCCAACTCCAGGCCCTAAACCTTGATGGTGCATTGGTACGCAGGGCGACATGCGTGGCTAGGCAGGTGGCGGAGCAAACAAGAGCTTCAAAAATCAGTCCTGGTCAGCTAGGTGGGAGGCCGACCAAAGGACTAGAAACCGAAGCTAGCCATCAACCCTACAAACCCCAACCCGATAACTCCTCTGAACCCTGCACTTGCCGCGCCTGTGATGACGCCATGGGAACCTCGGCTCCTTGCTCACAAAGCACCGAAGGCCCTGCAGTCAGTTTGTGGGTGGATCGGGTTTAGGGTTTGTAGGCTTTGTGGAGTATATATATATATGTATACGTATATTCATATCTATTTTATTGTGCTTATTTATGCATTTACTCATTCATTTGTGTGTATATGTATAGAGTTCATAGGGTTCTAGGGTTTATCCGGTTCTAGATGTTGTTCAGGGGCTTCGGTTTGGGATGTTTGGGCTGTGTGGTGTTGTTTTGGCTTAGGCTTAGGTATGTCATAGGATGGTTTAGGCCTGGATCGGCTTTTTTTATAAGGGATTTGTGAGTTTCATTTTCGGGGGGGTGGGGGGGGGGGGGTTGCGGCAGGGTTGAGAAAGGTGCAGAGGAGCCTGGGTCAGAGCAAACATGTGGGTCGTTCAGGGTCCATCTTTTGTATAAGGTGCCGTACTACATAGGGGATTCAAAAAAGGGATCCTAATTAATTAGAGAACTACCTTGGGATGTTCCCCCTTATGCTAACAGTCCTTCATAGGGTTTCTACTAGGGGCCCTACAATCCCTAGTAAGGACTTTGACTAGAACGAGGCACTTCCCAACAGCCACCCCTTACTTCGATTTTGCACGGTGCCTCCCCCACACTGGGATTCCTGAGTCCTGAGCTGCCCCGACTACCAGAAAACTAAAGAAGCCGTCGGCAGATGTGTTGCTCGTACCCGGCATCTTAAAACAAATCGATCGGCCCAAGGACCCCTTGCCCGCAAGTTACCTATTATTATCATCATGGTATTATTATTGTTATTATTGTTGTTGTTATTGCTAGTATTATCATTATTGTTCTTATAATTACATTATCACCATCATGATTCTTATCATTGTCCAGCTGCAAGTGATGTCTGGCCCGATGCCATCCAGCAAAGACGGATAAGCAGACACATGTTGGAATGGTTGCACATAATGTGTATACGCGCACGTGGCCGCATACACTAGTCAGGTATCCTCCTCTGAGGGGTGCCTCAGGAAGTGCTATCCCATCTTGTTTGGCAACCTGTGGTTTTCTGTTGTAGCAACTGCCAGTCACAATGCCAAAGCGTACCGAACCCACTTCTTGAACTGTGCAGAGCATATACGTTCTTCTCTTTACAGCCATCGTTTGGCCGGCAGCCATGGTTTTAAGGACCGGGTGGGGTTCACATCTTGTGGCTGCAAGTAGGCTGTTTGCATGTGGTCGGGAAGGGCAGTAGGGTGATTCCAGATGAGCATTGCCGCACTGTGCTGTCGGGAAGAAAGGTGATCCCTGATTCTGCTTAAATCCTTGCACTTGTAATTCATCGCCGACATCGGCGTCAACCTACGAGGAGTCCACTTCAACGAGGGACAGGCCTCTACCTGCTGCCTAGACGAACGAGATGTGTGACGAGTTTTGGGGTTTATTCCACATCACGTTTCATCATGTTGATGATTCATCGTGGAGGCTGGCCACAAGCTTCGAAAAGAGCACCGCGAGCCACCGCAATCAACAGAACTCTATATCTGAGCAACATACAGAAGCATCCAGCTGCACTCCAAGCTCTGACTGACTGCAACTATACGAGCCTGATCCAACTCCCTAAACCCCCTAAACCTCCTAAACCTCCTGAACCTCCTAAACCCACCTAAACCCCCTGAACCCCCTAAACCCCCTAGACGCCCTGAACCCTTACACCGAGGCTCCTTGCATCTGCCCTGGCCGCACCCGCACCATCACAACCTCTGTGGGACCGATGGGATCGCACTCCTGCAGCTCCATGGTGGCAACAAGGGCTGGGTTTAGGGTTTAGGGTTTAGGGTTTAGGGTTTAGGGTTTAGGGTTTAGGGTTTAGGGTTTAGGGTTTAGGGTGGTTTAGTTCCGGCACCTCAGAGAGCCCGGGTTCAAAGGGTTTATAGGGTTTCGGGTGTAGGGTTTAGGGGTTCAAAAGGGAGGAATGGTGCCCTGAGGCGCTGGCATTAAGTTAGGGTCGGGTCATGCTCACAGAAGGCATGTTTCACGGTTGTGATCCTTCAAGACCTGTGGCAATTGCTGGGAGAGAGGCCCTCGTAGCCCGGACAATCCTCCGTTGTCAGCATACCCAGGTGCGGATGCAGCGATGTTTCACTTCCGGAAAGCTCTTGGACTTGACGATGCTGGGCGAAGTTTAGTTTGTAGCAGCGCTTGGCCGGAAATCTGAGTCAGTTCATGATGCTTCGTTGACAAGTTGATGTAGGGCGGTAGGGTAGTGGATGGCCCCTGATCGTAGCCTCTCTGCGCCTTCAAGAAGCTGCTTCGCTCGCGCATAGACCATCACAAAAGTGTGCACCATGCTGGAAAGCATTCTGGCAGCGTGTGCGGACTGCCTTGGTGCCGTCATGTCGTGTTGCAGAATCTGCATCTTCAGATGCTGTCTACTGAGCGTGGCCTAGCAAAGGAATGGCACGACTGGCCTCCCGAACTGTGTGGATCACTGTTCTCCCCCTGCAGAACGTACCATACAGGCCTTGCGGCATTTCAAGTGTCAAGGTAATCAAATCGCAGCCATGGATCCCAAACTGCCAGGCTCCCCGAGAAAACGCAGACGCATGTTCAACTGTTATCGGATGGGATGAAGACCAATTTGTCCCGTATTCGCCTGCGTGCATCAAAGGGGGACAGCTGTGTAGAGTTCGTGCAGAGCTTGAGGCCTCGTGGGGTTGCGCAGCTTCTAGGTTGATCCGCAAAGGCAGCGCAAGTCGGTGAAGTTCAGTTTCTGACAGGCAATTTTCAATTTGCAGGTTCTGACAAGGAAAGGTCTGTGAGAGAAGGATGGAGTCTGACACCTTTTGCATATCCCGTCCAACAGGCCGCATGGGGCTCTTCGTGCACTATGCCTGTTCATTGAATTAGCATAATTTGCCAAAAGAGTCGAGTAGCTGACCGAGATTAACGAGCCACCTAATCCCAAGCCTTCCGCTGCGTGCACAACACTGTTGCATAAGTATTGCAGCACGGTATTTCTCGTGTGCTTGGGGATGTTAGATGCTTTACCCTTTGTTCGTGCGAGGCTGAGGGCGTCGGTTTTTGTATGCTTCCAGTGGCCCGGAAGGCGACGATGGAGCTGGGACTGTTTGGTGGTCAGCAGCACAAGAGTGCATACCATATATAGATATCATGGGTTCTTATTGGATATACTACTATATATGTATATACATACATGTGTGCTGTATTATACGAAATACGTTCTGGAGTATATATTCACACACCAAATAAATTTTGTAGTTTCCATGCTGTAGACGACAACGTCAGCTGTCAGATGTTTGAGTTTCGCATGTCTCGGGGTTGAGATCGGGATGCTTCTTGGGATTTACCCAAAATCACCAAAGCAGGTGATTTTGGGGCAAGCCGCCAGCGGTTGCGCCTTACTTATATATACATATACATGTATTTAGCTATTTGTTTGGCATGTTTCTTATTTTTATTACGATCATAATAAGCACCGATAAAACTCATTAATTTGTGATTTGTTTAGTCCTTTACTTGTGCGTGTTTCTGGTGTCGCAGTACTTGCTGTAGCCGATTGGGTACCTCAAAACCTCACTTGCCACTACCAATCAACCTCCGAGCATGCGAGCTTCTGATCTTGGCGGACCAGGATGCCTTCGATGTCTCATTCGCGCTCCAGCTTCAGAACGTCACGCTGAGGAAGCTGCCTCCGACGGCACACGGGGCTGCATCACGCAGGGTTCCTGAGCACAGAGATGACATGACACGATCGACCCTGCCTCGGATCCAACATATCTTGCAGCGCAGATCTGAGCCCATGCTGCTGTATAAGCCGTAAACTTCAGTATCGCAGCCCTCAAGTACTGCACTGAGC